GGGCAGCACTGAGCCACTCAGCACAATGTACACGGTTCGGGTCTAGGTGCCGGTGTCTGATCATTGCAAGCTCGGGTCCTGGTGTTTGATCATTCCAAGTTTCGTGGGAATTTTCAAAGCGCGACTTCTGCCGTCACGTTGGGTGGTAAAGACCCTGCACCGCCATCATCATCACCATCGTCGTCATCATCATACCACTCAGCAATGTGCTGGTGTCATAACCAGGGCCAGATTTAGGTATCCTTGACACACAGGGCACTAAAGCAGAACATACCCCCCCCCCCCACTCACTACAAAGACAAATATCCTCTCGTATCGCCTTCACAGACTGTTGGGGCAAGTGCTGTTAGCGAGCACTTGTGAAGGCCGGCACGGCACACGAGGGGGTGGGTGGCCAACACCACGCCCGGCCGCCTTTGTCTCCCTATTGGCGATGCTTACACGTCGCACCAGGTACTCATTTGAGACTGAGTCGACCCAGGGGAGGCCCAGGAGCTGTTAACATAATCGCCGATGGTGTTGGTGTTCATAACCGGGAATCGCACTCCGGTCCCGGGGTTCGTAGCGCACCGTGCTAACCACTCCCCTACCGCTCCTCCCTCCCATCAAGTACACGCACTCGCAGTGCCCCCCACTTAGTCCGAGTCAAATCGTTCCGCGGCACGCGCTATCCCCTAGGCGTCCTCGTTTAGCGCGCAGACGCTGGGACGCGCAGCAGGGGAAGGGACGAGTTCGGTAAATGGTTGAAGGTCCGACTCTGGCGAGATCGCACAGAGGAAGGTGGTGGTGGTGGGGGGAGGTGGAAATGAAGGGCAGTCCGTCTTTGCGGTGGCGCGCTTTCTAGCGCCGGTGGAAACACGATCTCGCAGTGCGATGTCCTCCTCCTACTCGGGGTAGCTCCCCGGGGTTCTGTGGCCGGAGTCGCTCCACAATTCACGTCTCGTGCAGCAGCAGCACGCGTCCGTCAGCGTCCGCCGCGTGTGCGAGACCATTACTGAGCAAGACCGTGACTTTAAAAGCTTTTTTTAAAAAAATCTGTAATCGTCTTCCTCTTCTTCTTCTTCTGCTGCACGTGTGCTGCTGCTGCCATCACCACCACCACGGCCATATGTTTATTCACTATCGGGCAGATGATGATATTATGCATGTGCCCATTTGTAGATCTAGCGAGGTCCCCCTTCACGGAACGCAGATCCGCAAAGAAGCCGACAGAGCAACGGATGTTTAAATTCTGGAATCTATTCTTGAGTATGGCAGAAATGTGTTCAGGAGCTAAATGCCAATATCGAGGTGTGCTCGCCACGACGAGAGACCTCCAGGTGAGATAGTTCGTGTAATTTTGCTATTCCTCCTCCCTTGAAGGAGCACAAACTGTACGGAGTGGTTTACTATACGGCTCATAATTTGGGATTCGTGGCCACAATCGCACCACAGTACCGTTCCTTGTTCGTTATTTTTCCCCCATTTATGAAGGACATTTCCTGTTGATGTTCTGCTGCTGTTGATGGTTACACCGCTGTCTTCGAGGAGGAATGTCCAAGGCACACGCGCTGCGATGTTGTTTGGGTATGGATGTTTATTCCGATGTCTTTGTGTTTCATTGAGGACGCTTCGCACTAGCGCCGCACAGAACGTGACCCCGCGCTACTGTGGTGAGCTTTTGTTTTTGTAAAATTTGTAGTCCGACTCTTGAGTCAAGGCACGGTCTGTGTATTTCACGTAAATCATTCTCCTAGTCTCGTCGACTGAGCCACTGAACAATGCAGTCAGACAATCTTTGTTGTTAATTGTTCGTGTGTATTAAGAGCGCCACAGCGTTTCCATACCAGCTCGGCCAATCAGCGAATCTTTTCATATATGCAGTGTTAGTCACCACGGAGGCGCACACTCTGGACTGGGAGGCAACACTTTTATTTAACAACTTCCCTAGCGGGTAACACTGAACGTAACTCGGGTTCTATAGTAGGTGATGTGAGCTAACGATGTGAGTAGCTCAAGACGAAGATCCGGAGACGGGGGACCCAGGCTGCCCCTTGATGCTCCTGAGCTTGGCCTCACTCTGCCTTCGACCTTTCCCGAAGGATCCCGACCGAGCATCCCGTGTCCCACTCAGGCGGCCACGTCCTCCCTTGCCCTCTCTTTTTACGATCAGAGAAAACAAGAAGATGCTCGGTGTAGTCAGCACTTTGCTTCGTTCATCATTTCGGCTTTGTTAATGCTTTGCTTTATGTAACCCCCTCCCCCCCCCCTTTGTAAATGAAAAATTTTACAAAATATTTCTCGCACTGCTCTCATTACCCCCTCCCTGTCTCTACCTCCCTCTCTGCCCCCTCCCGTCTCTCTCTACCCCCTCTCTTCCTACTCCATGTCGCTCTCGCTCTCTCTCTCGCTCTCTCGCTCTCTTTTTTTATTCTCTCAGGCCACCACCAGGATTATGCCCCCTAGGGCTGGCTGACATGCCGCACTTACTCTGGTGCTAGAGAGAGGCTCCAGACGCACAGTTGCACTCCTGTAACAGTAGCTGGCGCGAACGCCCTAGTAACACCATTTACGTCGTCACTACATGTGCATTGACAGCACCGTCAGCGAGACACCGTTAGTCTTCCTCTGTGTATTGTTGTCTCTCATAGCGTAACTAAATAACATTCAGCCTGCGTTTTCATTCAGACGAGTTCATCTCGTCGTAGTCAGCCATGTATTCGCATTTGGTGGTAATCGAAGTCCTCGGCATGCCCGATGTTTTTTGTTCTTGTGGTTATCATCGAGTAACATAAATAAACCCACCAACGCTTCGTTCAATATTTGTCGTGAGCAAAATTAACATTTTGATTTAAAGCTTTCGTGACTGCAGGGATTCATATTCTTGGTTCTTTCGGTAAAGTCACCACGTAGAAGGGAAACAATGAAATAATAATTATAATATAAAACAATAAAATTCTCACGACGTTTCGACTGCAACACAAGCATTCATCGTCAGGTGTGAAAACCTGACACGCGGCCGAAGCGTGAGTCTACAGCAAGGGGGTGAGCGAGGAGCCATCATTTGACTCATTGAGCACCGAAGAAAGACGAAGAACCTCCAAGTAGCTCTGACGGGCCGTGCAACATCACGCACGAGTCGGCGTTCCCCAACAGCGACGCGATACGTGTGGCCCATTCCCACGGCCGAGTGTGTGCACGGAGAGAGAGAGGCTATCTCCCTTACTCTTTGTTTATTTTCGGGAATTTAGTAATTCATTTATTTGATTTTATTATTATTTTCATTTTCCTACGTGACTTTACCGAAAAAAAAACAAAGAGCATGAATCCTTGCAGTCGCGAAAGCTTCAAATCTAGCTATCTCCCTTCTTACATCGGACACAAGCTTCCCGAGTGAGTGAGTGAGTGGGTGACGGGTGAGCGAGCTGCAATTACAAACGCGGTGGTGTTGCCAGGTCAACGACAACAATCGCCCTCTGGTAAGCCGATTAGTGCGGCTGTAGATGCCTGTTAGTGACGGCGGAGACACACATATATAGTTTGGGGAGCCGTTTCAAAGTGGTGGGCCTCATGTGTGCAGACCTTGGGGGGGCATAAGCCAACCTTACCTTATTTAAAACGAAGCTTTTTATTTTACCAGGTAAGACCTACCGAGCTGTATAGATCTTTTTCAGAAGCGGCTTGGCTATCACAAATGATAGCTCAAGGACGTGGCTTATCACGTGGAAATACAGAGTATCCAAATGCTCTCAACGCACGTTTTCTAAACGTGGATCTGCAAGATAATAGCCGGTTTGTGTTTTCGGTTGTGTTTTGCGACCCGCGTAGACCAAAGCGCAGCCTGATAGTCACTTTCATGACCCGCAAGGCGTGGGCAGGCCCTCCTCATCCAGCTGTGGATTGCCAAAGGCCGTCCAGGTCATTATCGTAAACTCATATTATTATAATTGAACAAATAAATTACTTATTTCAAAACCCGGTGGTATTGCCAGGTCAACGACAACAAGATAATCACTCGGTAAGAAAAAAAACGTTACCGACCAAATACAAGATGCGTTTGCATTGCACATACATACCCGTGTACAGGGTAGAAATGGTTAGCGGTCGATGTTGACGTTAATGGCCAGTCCCGATGCGATCACGCTTATTGATGTTGTCGATGATGCTGCCCCGTGCAATGCATTAGCGTCATTGTCAGGACGGTTCGCGTGGCCTCGTCACCGTGATTACTGACACTCAGGGACACGCAGGTCTCACTGATGTATTGGCCTTCTAATTATTGTTACTGCTGCTCTTCGGTGAGAAAGCCCGTGGAAAGCCTGGCCAGTCCGCGGACCGCATTGTTAACCTTTGTGAACCTTGGTTGATATTCAACGAAGGCGTTGAAGACAAACCATTCAGCTTGCTTTGTGGATAGCCACATGACAATATGGGAGCAGAGAAGTTACGAGTTGCTATTCGAAGGAAAACGGTCATTGCCGAAACTTATTTAGAACAAAAACTGAAAAATGCGCAAATAAATTTGTAAAGATACGTGTTTAGAATTACAGTCAGTTGAACGATAGCAAAGTGAACACATGGATTGGAGAGCATGTACTCAGCTCATAATGATATCATCAAAACTATTCAGAAAAGTGAGTGGGCCAGGGCAGGACACGTCACGGCTATAAGGGATGGTGGACGATGGTCAAAGAATAATATTGATAACGGAGAGACAGCCAAGGAATGTCACGCGTCAAAGAGGACGTCTACCGAGGAGATGGAGCGATTAGAACATTTCGTGCGCAGGTGCTAAGCGTATTATTGCAACACAGTATCGTGAGACGGGGCGGCATTCATCCAGCAGTGGATTCACCGTGGCGGATGATGTCATGTTAATGATGACGACACAAAGCCATACTCATGAAGAATTCAGAAGTAGAAAAAAAACCCCACAAGCATGAATTACAACCAAAACAAACCAGCCAATGGGCTTGCGGCCCGGGGCTTCCAGCCAATCAGTGGCGAGAGGCGCGAGAGATTTGTAGGAGCGCGACTCGGAGCTCCCAGCAGAGACTCCGGGAGCTGCCCGCATCTCGAGGCGCGCTGCGCAACTCTCACGCAGCCTGCAGCACCTCCTCTTCATCCTCTTCCTCATAGCGCAACTCACAGCGCTCCGTCCACACTCACTACTCGCAGTCACCACCTTGCTCCTCCTGCTCATCCTACCTCTCTTCGTTGCTGCCCGCTGTAGAGGCTTCAGCAACACACGCTTCATCATCATCATCATTGCCCCGTGCGCCCACCACCCTCTCACGACGATCGCTGTGCCATTATCTGCTGCAGCCCATCGCTGTGCCCGCGTGCACCTGGTCAGCTGAGGGCACAGTTGAGTGGGAGTGGACCAGGAGAGGCTTCTTCGGCTCCTGCATCACTCAAGTCGGCTGGAGCCACACTGAGTTGCCACAATGAAGCAGGGGCTTCCAGCAGCAGCAGCTGCTGCAACCACCACAGCCGTGGCCAGCGGCAGCGTCTTGTTCCTGCTGCTACTGCTGCGACTCGGGACCCCGGTAAGTGCCGGGGCTGTTGTTGATCGTGGGGGCTGTGTTTCACGTTTCAAGTTTGTACGCGCATGTTTGACGATCGAACTCCGCATAAGAAAGCGCGACTTCGCCGTGCCTATCGTTTTGTGGCCACATTAAGCCACATACCCCGGGCATTCGTAATGGTGATGGTAACGGGGCATTTAGTAAGCGCGCATGCTTTTGGATCGGCGATGTTTGGGCTCTCGCTGGTCTGGGCTGTCGTGTGTAACGGGCACGTACAGCTCTTTTGTCGATCCACTGCTGGATGAGGGCCTCCCGCACGCTGTCTGTGGAAGGCATACTTCACCACGCTGGTCAGTTGAGGGTCGGTGAAAGTAGACAAGCGGGTACTGCACAGTACCGCACGACGCAACAGCACAGAAGTAGAACGCAATATTTGATTTGCCTGCACTGCCCTCTGCTGCCCACAGCGTAGCCACCCGCAAGCCTACGACCGCTTGTCCGTGTGCACGATTGGTCGCCTACCTCCAAGTTCTAGCCAGGCTCAACTCGCCTACTTAGCTTCTGACATCTGACGAAATAGGGTAACCCACCTTCCGTGCGCTTTGGTCATCGGTTAGAGTGGGATTTTTTTTGTTTAATGCAGGCTCGGTATCTCTGTCATCAGTGAGCCTGCTTGCCACGGAGTGTAAACGATTCGTGGCATAATGATAGGGGCTTCGGTAATGCAGCGCGTGGATTATGTCTGGGGATTTTTTTTCTCTCTCTCCAGAAGAAGGAACTTTGTTGAACATTCTGCTCCTGGTTCTACTTCGCCCATTAAGTTTCCTGATGCGCGTGGCATTGCCCATCTGAACTTAGTTCACATCCCACATGATTCCACTAACGTAAAAGGGAGTCTCAAACGTTGTTAAAATAAAATACCGCTCTTAGTTTATTTTTTGAGTCCTACTGATTACAATCCTCGTTCGTATAATGTGGTTCACATGGCGATTGTACGGCGTCAACTGTTCCCTTTTCTCGTGATAAGTTCATTTTATCTTAGATTATAGGTCTCTACACAGTCTAATATAATAACATATAGTGAGCACACTGCGCTATAAAGGCACGTTTAATTCCACGGCTAACATTAGTGGCGAGTGACATCTGAACTTAGTCCATTTGGACGCCCCTTTCCCGTTTCCCAAACCGCACCGACATCCTTGAAATAATCCCACGCGCGAAACGGCCTTCATCTAGCAGTGGAGTGACAAAGGATTGAACACATGATATATCCATATTGGCGACGGCAGCGTGCACAACAGACAGGAAGGCCTCCGTGAATGCATAGACCAACCCACACGGTCATAGTCAGAAACGTCGCTTTGAAATAATAAAAAAAATCGACGAGTCAAGCGCTACATTTTGAAAGTGCTCATTGTTTGGACGTTCGCTTCATAGATAATATATACTCATATACTGAACGTACTTTGTAATTGTTAAATAGTAGTACAGCACGTACTTGCTAAAATTGTACATTATCAGCCATGATATATCCACTGCTCGATGCAAATCTTTGCGTTGAGCAGTAATTTTATCGACCTGATACATGAACTGCTCGTGGCCGTCCCCTAGGTGGACTCAGCATTAAATTAGTACTTGCTGCAGTGCACGGCACCCTCCTTCCTCGTGTACCGTTGCTGGCTTTCATAGCCCCAACGGTCCGTGTACGGCACACGGGGGATCTTTGTCTTCAGTGTTTGCGTGTGTGTGTACGACTGTATTTGGCTTGGGAATTCGTGGTTAGTGCAGGGCCCTTTAGATTGAAGGGCGAAAAGTCTCTGTTGGGGGTAGGGAGTTTTGGATGATGGGGGAGTGGGGTAAGAGTTGTGGGTGTAACTTTGTCGGTGCAATATAGGAAAAAAACAGCACTGGGCTGTAATTATCAGGGTGACTGTTTGGCCCAGAGGGCATGAAAGGGCCACCGAAACGTCTCTGTGGCCAAGCGTCATCTCGGCGGATGTCGAAAATAATCAAAAGTGTCTGTCCGGGAACCCCATTTCGCTCAGCAGCCGATGTGGCCACGGGCCTTTTGAAATGCGCATACCGACCAAATCAAAGACACAGTCCCCGCGGCGACTCGAGCAAAGTGCCACCCCCCCCCCCTCTTCCAACTCCGTTTGCACCGCTCCGCACCCGCTCCCTCCACCCACCAGCGCCTCCCGACCCCCACACCTCTCACACCCCCCTGCGTCGGCCCTGTGCTTTGGACTCCCCGACCACACAGCAGCGTGAGCTTGAGCTGGAGTGGGATGGTGGGTGTCTGCCTGTCTGGGCCGAGTCTCCCAAGGCGCGAAGGCATTTAACGCGCTATCGCCACTTCCCTCCTGCTTCCTGCCACATGTGGCAGAGGTGTCCCTTCTCCTCCCCCTCCTCCTCCTCCTTCTTCTTCTTCTTCCTACCAGCGATGTGTTTTTTTATTATCCCCCTTACTCTTCCTTTCTGGGTTGTGTCCGGTTTTTTTTTTCCGAGTTTGGCTGCCACGTTCGAGACAAACCGAAATCTTCACCCCGTTGGCGGTGACGCTGATAATGCTGAAACAGATAACAAAACAATAGTTTGCCGCGCCATTTCGTGTATTTGACCTCAGACCACCCCGTAGGGACTATAATTCTAATAATTTACACCCCTTTGTGAATCCGCTGCTGGATGAAGGCCTCCCCAAGTCGTGTCGATGCTCATGGGAAGCTGTTTGTTTGCCTTAACTGCATCACCGCTGGTCAATGCGGCTTGGTAAACGGGAAGGGAGGCAGGGCAGATGTGGATCTAACTCTCAGCTCGCTGAAGTAGTGAACGCTATATATACCGTGTACGTGTAGAGTAACGTCATGTCTATCCATATAATTCACTTATTTGAAGTAAGGAAGCGTTTGTCTTCGTGTGGGAGGAAAAAATAGAGTAACCCGGAGAAAAGCCATCACGGATATAAGGGGATATTACTCAAAGGTCCACACAAATGGGTTGACGAACCCGCACTGCCACATCGTGTCTATCTGCCACACCAGGGGGATTGGGGAGTTTCACAAATCAGTACGTGATCCATCAACCCTTGTCTCTTCAGGTGCCGATCAAAGCTGTGTAGCACCAACCACCACTATCGCACCACCGCTATTCTCACTCTCTGTTCGAAGGCGCGACAGCTAATACGTCTATGTAAGATTTAGATCCGTGCTCTGCTCTTTCTCGCACAGCCAAGGAAGGGAGCGCCTCCGATAGGGACGCTCACCGCAGAGATGGAACGTTGAAATCGGCTCGTGTGCAGAGGCGCTTTAGGTGGATTGTTAACATCGGCCTGGTGAGGCCTCCTCTATCCAGCAGCGGACTGACCATGGCTGCTGATGATGATGTCGAAGAACCCTTTTGACTGATAAGTCGTTTGAGTGATAAGGTGGAGACGAAGTTGACCGTGACTCGCGCAGTCGCTCGCAACTCTTCGCCCCCCCCCTCCACCACCACCACCCCCCCTCCGAGACTCGGCAAACCGCACGGCAAAGAGCCGCAGGGCACATTGGCCCGCTTTGTGTTCAACCATCGGTGGTGACTTTAACGAGCTTTCGGCCTCGCCTTTAAAAAAAGGGGGGGGGGGGGGGTTAGGAACATTTTAATTCAGCTAAACGCATGCCAGGGGTGTCTGCAAGGACGGAGGGGGGGGGGGGGTTGAAGCTACACGAGAGCTCCTTTTTGTGCAGTCGTTAAGTTTAATGAGCGCGCCGCGTCTCGCTGCGGCGGCGGTAGTGGCATGCGGCTCTCTCGGAGCGCAGCGCATTCCGCGAGAACCCCCGGAGCAGATGGAGAGGAGGGAGGCAGCCGCCGGTCCCAGCGTGGTCGGTCAGCGGAGGGCAAGAGAGCAGCCCGCGCGATCCACGCTCACACGTCCTCACCACACCACCACCCCAGTCCCCTCTCCTACGGTCCCTGACCCTGACCCTATGCGGATCCCAGACTGGACGCGCGCCCCCTGTGGACTCGTAACATTTAGCCATTATCTGGACCCCAACCACACGGCCCATAACGTGGTCCCTTTCCTTGCCTCGAAGCCTGAACAATAATCCGACCCTTATGCAAGCTGCTGACGGAACCCGTAATCAAAACCCCGAGATAAAAAAAACCTGTTCTAACCTCCATCCCTACCTATAACCAGACCTTACGTATTCAATGATCCTAACCCATGATTTTACTCCTAACATGACCACTAATCTGACCCAACCACACCGATATCGTAACCCATTTCCTAGACACTTATCCTCACCCATATCGAGACTCCACCTCTGAACAAGACCCATACCTAGACCAATGATCTGACCCTCATAATTTGACCTATAACCAGACCTTTTCCAGACCCTTATCTTTACCCACAGACTGACCACTATACAAACCTTTACCTGACCCCTAACGAGACCCCTCTCCAGAACCCTATTCTGACCCTAACCACACCCACAGAGACCTTGACTTAAACTATTTAAAAGTGAATGCAGCACTGAATCATAGTTCTCGCAATTACAAGTACAGTATTAGGAAATACGAACAATAATTACTGAGGTTTTTTTTTTGCAACTGGCTACTCACCTCGAACCTGACCCACAGAGATTGGACCATTCTCACTGTACTCCACAAACTCCATCCCTTTCACTTTATGCTCTGGCTATTGGCAGATACGACGCAACAGATGAGACAGCGATTATCTTGTAGATTCACACCCATGGGCGGGCTCCATCTCCTGGGTTGTCCCACGTGAGTTAAAACATTTGTTCATGAGAAAAAAAGAGTTATCCTGTGCCTCCCATACGGCTTGATACAGGCGTAAATGCAGTGACATTTGAAGCTAACTGAGCTTCAAATATATGTTTTACTGTGCAGGACATGCTGCCTAGGTATACACTGTATCTGATAGATATGAACTAAGTGTTTTTTTAATTCACCTTTCTTAAAATGTGGCCATATGCAGTGTATGCAACATTCAATACAGTCACACCTCATGCATTAAGCATATGATAAGGTCAAGCAGATGTGTCTCCAGAAAGACACTTCTGCTGGTCTCAACGGGCTCTTGCCTGGTTATAAAGACCATCTGTCTATCTATATGAAGGCTAATAAAAATAAACAGATTTTATTCAGAAAAGCCTAGTGGTTAAACACAATTTTTATTACCCACAATGCTCCACACCAGGTGGAGTGGTGGCTTAACGGTTAGCACACATCACTAAAAAACCTATTCATTTGAATTAAGTTCCTGGCCATGGCTAATGTCAGTGGTGAGTGATATTTAAACTGGTCCAGGGACTGACCGGCGTGGTGAAGTATGGTCAAACAGCCTCTCATAACCGACATGGCGTGGGGAGGCCTTCACCCACCGGTGGATTGACAAAGGGCTGTCAAATATAATCATAATTATCATTTGAAATCGTTATTGCAATGCTGCACAACAGCACATTAACGGGCTACTATTATCACACATGTGTCGGGCTGATGCAATCTGTTTAATTGCTGCGTCTCATTCTCAGAGCGTTCTGGTTGTTATTTTATCCGCGCCTCGCACGATGCGCGCCAAGCGCGCGGGTCTTGTCAATGCCCCCTTGTGCTGTGGCGTTGTCACTCAGTCGACGAGCGGGGGGGGGCAGGACGCGTTGCCGCCTGCACCGAGATGCGTTTATTTGCTCCTCCGTGCCAGCACAATGGAGTTCTATTGCCCGTGCTGTGCGGGGAGGGCTCTTTAAAATGCACGAGCGGACCAGGCTGTGTAAACGCTGTACCCCCCCCCCGCTCGCTACTCGCTCGCTCGCTCTACGTGGCAGTCGGGGGTGGGGGTTGGGAGAGGGACACGCTGAAATGATGGACGCGTCCTCAATTGTGTGATGAGTGGCCATTGTGCGTGAAGTCTGTGTGGGGGCTTCAAGGTGCCTCTGCTATCGCACAGGGGGGGGGGGGGGGGGGGGGGGGGGGGGGGGGGGGGGGGGGGGGGGGGGGGTGAGATTACAAATGGAGCTCAACTGTAACGAGAATTTCACCGTCACGGGCCCTTCCAGCACTAAATTCAATTTGGGTTGTAAAAGTGAGTTTAACACGTAGGCTTTCGCGACCAATATTATTCATAATAAAGGTTTTTGGGTTAGATCGCGTTATTTATAAATGTGTCGTAACCCTCCACCACCCTACACGGCCAATCAGCAAAAAAAGTGTCACGTTGACAAAAGACAAATAATTCATTACTTTAGCCCACCGGTGTGTTGAAGAGTGAATCCACAACATTTACAGTTTGAGTACGACGTTTCGCTGGTAAATACATCCAGCATCATCAGGCAATTCTCCAGAATGGTAAAGCCCTCGCTTACTCCCGGTTTTAAATAGAGCAGCAGGGTGACGTCATCATTTAACTCATATCAGGTGCAGTGATTAGAGGCGGAGGGGGGGGTATTGTAACTGCGTTTGGTATTACCTTTGAATCTCTGCACCTTTTGAGGAACGCCAGTGAAGATATCAATTTCATCCGCTTAATGCGGAGCTTCTCCAATTTTCTGGTTTTAAGAAAAGTATCCTCCCCATAGAGGTTAGTCAGTTTAACACGTAGGCTTTCGCGACCAATATTATTCATAATAAAGGTTTTTGGGTTAGATCGCGTTATTTATAAATGTGTCGTAACCCTCCACCACCCGACACGGCCAATCAGCAAAAAAGTGTCACGTTGACAAAAGACAAATATATGAGTTAAATGATGACATCACCCTGCTGCTCTATTTAAAACCGGGAGCAAGCGAGGGCTTTACCATTCTGGAGAATTGCCTGATGATGCTGGATGTATTTACCAGCGAAACGTCGTACTCAAACTGTAAATGTTGTGGATTCACTGTTCAACACACCGGTGGGCTAAAGTAGTGAATTATTTGTCTTTTGTCAACGTGACACTTTTTTGCTGATTGGCCGTGTCGGGTGGTGGAGGGTTACGACGCATTTATAAATAACGCGATCTAACCCAAAAACCTTTATTATGAGTTGTAAAAGTGACTCTACGCTTGAAGTTGCTCCGTGCCTCCATGTGCTTCTTAGTCTGAGCATCGCCGCGTGTCCCCTACTTGTCTACGAGGCTCAGCGTGACTCTGCGTCATCACATCTCCGAGTCCCAGCTTCGTCCTGTGCCTCCGGGTGTCTCTTTCTGCAAGCGTGGCTCCGTGTCCCTTATCGAGTGCCGGCACAATTCCGTGGACTCCGCATCTCCACGTCCTCCGTGACCCAACCTGGCGCCGCGTCTCAAAAATCTCAGCGCACGTCTCTGTGTGTGTGTGTCCCGCGACAGGTGACCGGGGCGCCCACGTGCCCTAGCAATGAGTTCACGGGCGACGGCCGCTGCTGCCAGGAGTGCGGGCCAGGCTGGGGGATGGCCGAGAGTTGCCGCGGACGCAACAACACGCAGTGCGAGCCCTGTCACGACAGTGAGTGTGCCTGCACACGGCACAGAGGACGCGGGAGATGCACACACGCGTGCACCACACACCGGGCAACTCTGCAATTCCCTGAATACGTTATGAGGTCGCACTCAATACACGCGAAGTGCTTGCCACAAACGAACCACAATACCTTGCTGGGAGCATGAAGCATCACGCAAACTCTGGTCATCCTCACAGCGGCATGGTGACCAAAGGTGGTCACCGTATCGCGCGCTTTCAGATGCGCTTTTGCGCCTGACTGAAACGCTCTTGCTTCTGATATTAGGAAGCCACTCCACTTTTAAATATAGTTTGCAAATCTTTAGAATTGCTTTTTATGTTTAGTTGTTGTCCTTCCCCCGCACCTGCGATTAGCATGGTTTACTACGTGCGGTGTGAAATAAGTTCAACATGCATACATACAGATGTACAGAGTGATCCAAAAGATAGTTGACTGAGATAGACACGAATGAGCATTGAGCGATGATTGCCCTTCCATTCTCCCTCGTTCATCGTGGCCTTAGGGCTACAGATGTATGTGATGTCGCACACTTGCTCGTTCGATCGGAAAGGCACTTTGACTCTTAATACAAACTGTGCAGGTGGTTTAGAGACCATATACACAAATTAGAGACATCGCATTGACCAGTAAGTTGGCCTGTGTAGGATTTGTCGCTAGTCGAGATGATTACCAATGGTGGAGACCGTGAGAGGTGCGATAGCTTGGGAAAGCCTTCATCCAAGAGCGGTTAGATCATATTCTTTGGTTCTTTCGGTAAAGTCACGTAGGTAAACATAAAATAAAATAAAACAAAAATGAAATCAACTAAATTAAATCACGGATAGATCATGGCCAATGATGATGGATTTTCTTGTGTTTATGGCAATGGGGTAAACAAAACTGTACAAACGAGAAATAATAAAAACGAGATGAAAACTGACCATGTCTTGAATCGAATAGCGCCATGAATCACAACAATTCCCTGAATTGCCCGGTCACGGTCTGGGTTAGTCCTTCCAGCTGTGAACCAGATCATTGCTACTGATGATGATGGTTTTGATGATCATGAGGATAATGAGGTTTAAACTATCGGGAGATGTTAACTACCTCGCTTGGTATACGGGAGGTCGTGGGTTCGATCCCAAACCTGACACCTGTATATTTGTAGTTCGCATGTTACGCCCGTGGTCGCGTGGATCTTTTTTCCAGGTCAACTGGTTTTCCCCTCCATACTGTACGCAAAATCGCCACGCATTCAGCGTATTTGCCTGCTACAAATTACCACGTGATGGTAAGCCACTTCGTTGAGCCTTCCTTTGTGGCCAGGTTGCTTGTGAAAAAGAGCCGTGTTGTAGCTCAACGGAACCTTAGCTGCTAAAACAAAACAAAAATAAATAAATAAATAAAAAAAGGTTTCAGTTTTCGTCTGATCCAGCAAAAGCTACCCAACCCCCTCTGCTGTGCGTGCCTCCTTCCTTGCCCGCGCAGGCCTGACCTTCTCGTCGTCGTGGAGTCACACGGACCGTTGCCTGCCGTGCCGCACGTGCCCCGGGGGCACGCGCGTGCGCTCGCCCTGCACGGAGGCGGACGACACGGTGTGCGAGTGCGACGACGGGCTGCACGCACGCGACGCCGACGGCGCGTGCGTGCCCTGCCGCCTGTGCCCGCCGGGCACGGGCGTCGTGTCGCAGTGCTCGCCGGACGGCGACGCCACCTGCGAGCTCTGCCCGCCTGGGTTTTACTCGGAGTGGAGCAGCAACACCGAGCCGTGCATGCCGTGCGCCAGCTGCTCTGACGACCAGGTGGAGCTCAAGGGGTGCACGCCGAGCGCCGACACCATCTGCTTCGGTGAGTACTCTCCTCTCGTCTTGTCTGCACGGCCCCCATCCACCACCACCACCCCCACCACCCCCGTGCTGTCGACCCAACCAGTCCCGTGCCGTCAGCGTTGCTAACTCGGCGAGATTGTCTCTTGGTCTAGCGACCTTTTGGGGGTTCTTATTCAAGAGGTTCGCTTATTCGTTTTTTCGACCAATTGCTATTTGAATGTAGTGTTTTCTAGACCCAGCGGGCTACTGCCAGAGCCTTTGCTTAACATTGCACATTAACGCATTATTTACACATTTAAAAAAAATGAATGCATCTTTATGTAACGCGACGTTGGCGCCCCTGCACACTTTTCCCACCTATGTGCGTGTCCATGCGGGTATGGAACAAACACATTAAACGGCGAGCTCCGGAGAATAAACTAGGTACATACAAAAGGGCCATTGTCTATTTATACACAAAAGGTGGGCTTTCCTTTTTTGTTTTGCTTTAAGCACTCAGACCAGTAGAGACCACAACCTGGAACCGTTGCTTTGCAGCTAACAAGGATTTAATAATAATCACCTCCTTACGGAGCTGTGCAGACGACGGTTATGGTCTATTTCACTGCGTGTGGCGTGCTCGCTCAGTGTGTTTGCTGGAGAATCAGCTGGGCATGGCATGAAAAGAGACTCTTTGAGAGACTGGCTTCGTCTGCCCGTGTGTGTGCGGGCGCGCGCATGCGCGTGTGTCTTTGAAGTCAGTCAATTGTCTTAAATAAACGGTTTTTATACCTATGACCAATTCACCTTGAAAACACCAGATCTTATTGGATCTCGGAAGCTAAGCAGCATTGAGCCGGGGTCAATATTTGGATTGGTGACTGCTTGAGAATAACAGATGTTGTGGGCTTTGGCTGTGAGGCAGCAGCACACCAATGGATTCCCTGCGGAGCTTCAAATGTTACCTTCTTGTTTGTGTGCTTCTCCGGGTACTCTGGCCTTCTCCCCCATTAATGGAGATGGACAAACATTCCAATCTAGCGGTACCCTCCTGACAATGAATCTTGTGACCCAGTGAGGCTTTCTTGGGTAAATAAAAGGGATGTAATGTTACTTGTGCACATTACAATTTTTAAAATTTTATATCAATACGTTTATTTAAATAATGCTTGTCTATATTATTTATTTAAAAAGCCTCCCAACCGATGCATAATTTAGGCATTTTAAAGACAGCGATTAATTAATCGCTCAAGGCATCTCAAGAGCACTGAACATAAAATAAAACGTACAAAACTGAGAATATATATAAAGGTCTGTACACGCAAGAATATGACTAAGATCCCACATTTGGTCTGACAAAGAAACATATCCCTCATATAGCCTTAACAGAATGGGGAAAGTGTAATTAGCGAGCACCTATGATGGCCGGCATGACACCAGCATTATCCCTGGCTGCCTTTGTCTCCTAAGTGGCGATGTTTACACATGCACCAGGTACTCATTTAAGGCTGAGTCAACCTAGGACAGGCCCAGAACAAATTCCGATAATCGTAACTGGTGTTGCCCATGAGCAGGAATCGAACTCGGGTCACCAGGTTCGTTGCACAGCGTGCGAACCGCTAAACTACCGCTCCCCCAGCACACACTCACACACACGCACACATGCTTCAACATAATTCACTTAGCACCGACGCATAATGTTACCGACCCAGAGGTCCCTACTGAAAACGAAGCCCATATGACCCAGGTTAGCAATGCCCTCTGCTCTTTGACCACTTGTTCTCCTTAACCCACGTGACCTTAGGAAGCGACCTTTCTGTGTCCGCCGACCCGAGTACTCTGGAGTGCCGCCCAATCTCCTCCCCTCGCCAGCCGCGAACGGACAAAGTGGCCCTGAAAAAGTGGCTCTAGATGTACCTCCACTCTTCTTCTACGCTGGCCTTATTCATTAAGCATTCAAAAGGCCACTTCGTGAATATTTGAAAGTGCAGAATACGTGTAACATTGATCTGCGTCGTGAAGGTGTGACATTTAAACGGACGCTTTGTAAGGATTTTGCCTGCACTTGTGGCACACAGCTCCGCCACATTGTATGGTGTTCGCAGCATGGTCATGAATACAGCATTGAATTGTGCGGCGCGGGGGAGACCGGGGATCCCGGGTACGCAGGGCGAGGCGCGGGATCCCGCTGTCTGTCCCAGCTGCCACCCTCTCGCCCGCGCCTTTATTCCCCGACGCGATCAGGTTTCGCTGGTGCCCAGGGACTCGTGTGATCAGGTGCTGCCGGTCGTAATGCCTTTTGTCAATCCGTCCCGGCAGCCCGACCTCACACTGTGGGCTGGCTCCTAATTGAAGCGAACTGTCGGAAGGCGGGGGGTGGGGTGGGGGGAACCCCCTTTAAAAAATACAGAAGGACAGAGGACGAAATGCCACCCCCCCTCCCCCATTTTTTTCCAGCCTCAAAAAAAGTGTATTGATCTTTCTTTGCCGGAGCGTCGCAGTCCGCTGGGCTCATTTTGTATTCAATAATGGATGGGGCATTAGTAATCAGGGATAGCCGGCACGTTGGTCCTTGTTATTGTTTATGAATGGCAACAATGGGGAAGATGAATACCGAAGGGAGCACAAGTGCATCAAAAGTGATGAGGTAAAATGTCTCTCTACTTACTTATTCATACATGTGAGGGCAGTCAAAAAGCTTCCCAGAAAGTCACGTCGACAAAATGATTTCAAATTTCATATATATGTGAAATAAAATTACAAATGTCACGTGAAGATTACCACATCGACAACGTTTACCGTGTTATATAATATCAGAGGCATGGCTAAGGATGGGAGGAAGAAAAAAACATTCAAACGCTGAAGTATGCATTTTTTTTAAAAGACATATCGTTGGCAGGACGGTCTACCATGACGCGTGCTTTTGGGCAGGAGCATTCAACGCTTGGCATCACCGCGACGTTGCACTGCGATACCCCACGTGCAGAGAAGACATTACCGAATAAGTGTCGGTCACCATACCGGAAAATGTTAAACAAAACACATATGATATCGTTGACCAAATTGCCATGAATATGCCCTGATATCATAAGCTAAACAGGCTTGAGCTTTGTGTGACCACCACCACCACCACCACGGCTTGTCAGGTGTCGTAGGTGTGGGGCTGCGGGATGTTTGCCCAGGGCATGGCAGTGCAGAGTTTATCCCCCAAGTGCGCTCGCTGGGTTTTCTCCGTTGTCTTCACTTCCCAACCGCATGCAGCCAAAACACTCATTCAAGGGAGCTGGTGAAACATCAGCAATGCAGGAGGCTCTTGAAAAAAAGTCTTGAGACTCCTCGGTCGAAGCTATCCTGGGTAAACAGTTTGCGTTGTTATGGAACGGTGTGAGATGTTTCCGTAATTTTAACAGTCAAAAAAAGTATGTACAGTTGTAGGAAAACGTGCTTTTTTAAAATAGAAAAATATATCGTATATACTTGTTAAAGATCACTGGTGTCACTCAGCGGAGAGACCCTGTAGCCGAGGGAGAGGTTATAGAAAGTACAAATCTGATGGGGATTCGAACCTGCATCCTTGATGCATTAAAAATAAGCCAGCTTCGGTCCAATCCACTCGGCTAGAATGTTTCCGGACAGAAGGTTCTGTTTTCATTTTGATGGGAAAACACACGCACATGCATGGCAACACACACACACACACATGCATGGGAACACACACACACATGCATGACAACACACACATACACATGCATGGGAACACACACTTGCATGAAGGTCAGCACGGCACACGAGGGGGTGGGGTGGCCAGGACTACGCTGATTTTGTCTCACGAGTGCTGATGATTACACACCGCACCAGGTACTCGTTTAAGGCTGAGTCGACCTAGGGGATGCCCAGGACCGATTCAGATATTTGCCAAAGTTATTCGTCGTGAGCGGGACTCGAACTCGGGTCAGTGCCTGGTTCGTAGCACAGTGCACTAACCACTGCGCCACCACTCCTCACACACACACATACGGGAACATACGCACGCACACACCCACATGCCAGCATAACTGGGTTAGTGTGCCTTATCAGAGCCGAGCAGTGTGACAGGCCTAGTCCCCCTTAATTCAATTAGCGCTCACACCACCACCGCCGTGGCCAATTCGCTCAAATCTGCTCTGCAGCAGCAGCAGGAGCAGGAGCACGACTTGCTCAGCCGTGGCCAGATTCTCTCGAGGGCGACTCGTGGCGTGCAGGGCGATGGGGTCCACAGGCAGGCACGTCCGGGCTGTGAGGTCGCACCGCCTGGCAGGACAGCCATGTGCTCGGTTTACGATGTAAGCGGCGGCGGCGGCATTAAAGTGCCCGCTATCGCCGCGACGCGCAAGGCTTTGATTTAGGAAACACACGTGACCGAGAGCACCCCTGTATGAGTGCCAAACGCAAGTTTTCCTTACACGTGGTATGCACACTCGAGTAAATCTGCATCAGGGCTTGACTTTAAATACCGGCGAGGGTTGTTCAGCATCCGCTCGGTGAAGACGATGAGTGTGCTGCGGCGCAAGGCAACGTGTGCTCAATTTCCACCCAAGGCTTCGCCACCACGAGAGCCGCCCGCGAACTTGTGTTTGGTGGGGGAACGTTGGTACTCCCTTCGCTCCTTTGTCAAGGCAAGATGAGGCGAGTGGGGAGAGCACCGGAGTGGCTCGATGCGGATGTGCTCTCCCTAAACGTAGAGCCGAGTTTGTGGAGCAGACATAGAAGTCTGCCTGATCTACTCCCACCCACGACGCGCCGACCCTACCCCAATCACGAGCGCGCTCATGCACGCTCGTTCGCCCTTTGTCCACGTGCACACACGTACTCTCACACTTGCGCAGCCTGAATAAGTGCATGTGCACTTACACGCACCAACACACACTCATATACATGCACACACTCGCGCACATTCGCACGCACATAAAGGCACCGGGGTTGGCCTGCCGTGGCACGTCTCACCCCATTGTGGACGTCCCTCCCTGGGTCCCCGGCCGGCAGGAGACGTGGGGTCGGGGAGAGGGGCAGAGCTCCCGTGAGGAACGTGCCTGGGCCCGTTGTCCCGGCAATGCCATTAGATCGGTCACGGTGAGTTTGGCTGCAGCGTGGGTGTCCAGCCGTCTTCGGTGGGAAAATGTGTTCCAAGGGAGCGACTCCTCTACACATATATACGTGAAACATACAGATACATTCGAGTTATATTTTATATATGTATAAAAAAATCACAGACATCCATAAAAAATTTATCTCACAACTCTACACGTGGAGCTCCAGACCGGGCGAGCATGCAGCTGGCATGGATTTGCGGGGAAGATAATTCCATCGATCGACTCTAAAACATAAAAACGTGCAGCCAGAGAAATTTAGTCGGACTCGAGTGAGCCACATTCTTCACATTCTGTGGATGGCGACAGGGACCCACTGTGAGGTGACTGGTCCGGTGAGGGGGGTCTTGCCCTAGGGGTGATCGTAGTTGGGAGCGGCGAGTCGCGCGCCGCCGTTTCCAACGTGCCGGAGGTGAGCATCTGATTCTCTCTTTCTCATCCCCGGGGCCCTTTGGGCCTTCGAGTGACAGTGGGACCATGCCCACCATCAGCCTCTGGTGGCAAAGTGTTCTCATTACGGACAAAAAAATGTTCCTGTCAACGACTAATCCTAACGCAGGTTTGACATCTATCACTGGATGTCTTTTCAAGCAACCATAAATCGCGCATTCGAACCGGCGACGCCGCTTGCCATTGCCCTTTCACAACGTACCGAGGGGCTTTTGCTCATTTATTTTCGGTGCCCTCTCGCGATTATCCTTTTTTTTTTTGGAGCGGCGATGTTGCGCCGACGATCCGCCGCATTCATGGTAGAAAAAAAATCATAGCTTCGTTTGCAACTGAAACATAAAGCTCCTGTGAAACATTGGAGTGAATGCTCGGCAGTTTATATTGCGTGCGCGAGTTCCTTTTGCTGGGAACGCTGCCTGCGCGCAGCGGTTGGAGGTAGAGAATGACGGAGGGGGAGGCATGGCAGGGCCATGGCACTGGGTGCCGCGTTTCATTACGGGATTACTCCACACGGGCCGTAAAAGGATTTAGTGCGACGGCCATTGTCCCCGGCCCCTACACGCCGCCAGTGAATGGAGCGCTCAATAAGTTCTCAAGCGCTTCATGTAAACAAATGGCGTAATAGAGGCTGATTACCATGAAAATGGGGGCCTCTGACGGCAGTTATTAATGCATCCGCCGATAATACTGCCCTTGCAGCTCTTATTAAGTCTGGCCTGCCGCAGAGAGCTGCCCCTGAAAGTGTTTCGTTCCCACACCCCTAGGTGACACCGGACCCTTGCGCCGTTCCCTCGTGGCACAACTGGTGGCTGAGACCTTTGTGTCTGCGCGAGTCACACGCAGATGTCTTGTGGAGAGCGTGGTCACTGCAACAGACGCACACCGAGAGTTCTTGCATTCCTAATGTGCGTGCGTGCGCATGCGTGAGTGCGCGTGCGCGCGTCCAAAACTGTGCCAGCTGAAGCTGCCCAGCTTTCGGAGTAGAATATTAAAAGTGAGCATGCCGTCGCGGTATTCCGCTTAACAGCATAGCAACCCCGAAACACAAGCACGTGCTTCAGCAATTTGTCGAGAACAACAGCACGTTTCCATGATTGCTACATTACGTCCGCAGTTGCCGTTTTGTGCTGCTTCTAAAATATGTTACGCCCATTCCCATTGAACACGTTTTAAAGTTGAATGTTAAGATAGCATCCCAAGATTGGTTGCATATTCTCAGCTTGCGTTATAATGTTGTCGCATTAAGAGCATTATACACAGAGTGCAAAAAAATGTTATTTTCAAAATATGAAAATGCATGATTCATCTACGTTATATTATACCAAGCTCACAACCTGAGTATTATTCCTGGCCATGGTTAACACGAGTGGTGAGCCTCATCTGAAATGGGTCCTGGGTACTCCTTTCATGAACTGGTACTCACCAACGTGGTGAATGATGATCAAACAACCCCAATGAACAACACGGCATGGGAAGGCCTTCGTTCAGCAGTGGATCGATACACGTTCATATATTAACAACACGTAATTATAATGCATATGATTACAACATCATTCACTACTTTACACTTGAATATATGTATAGCATTGCATAAATACATATTGAACCTTCTGGCCACCCTCACTATAGAGCCCATTGTTGTGGCTTTACAATGTGCGCTATATGTTTTTATTTAAACGTTAATGAATCGGTTTCGGAAAAAAAAGACATCGCATTACATCAATTAAAAGCGATCCCATGAATATTCATTCACCCCACTCGCGGCTAATGTGTCCCCGCTCCCCAGACAAGAACCCCGGCATTCCGGACCTGCTGCCGAAAGGTCGCGGCACGATGTCCCCCCGCGGCCCCGAGCCGGACGAGCTCGACCTCCCCGAGTGGGATGTTGACGGCGGCGGCGGCGCTGGGACGGCGTGGGCTGCGGGGGCCCCGGGGCCGCGCCTGAGGGAGCCGGAGCGCGAGGAGGAAGGGGGCCCCTTCGGCGTGGCCAACAGCACGCACGGCACACCGGCCAGCAGCCAGGAACCGCTGGGCGGGCAGTCCCGCGACATCATCCCCGTCTACTGCTCCATCATGGCAGCTGTCGTGGTGGGGCTGGTCGCCTACGTCATCTTCAAGCGGTGAGGGCAGACGGTGTTACCAGCTTAGCGATTTTGTCCCCAGATTTAGCAACTTTTTAGGATATTTTCTCTCCCTCGCAATTGATTTTTGCCAAAGTGACCAGCGGCAGATCGAGCGACTTCCTGGGAAATTATGCGGATTTAGGAGCAGTTCCAAGTATTTTTTTCATGACACTGTATAGTTTACCATATGAGTAACACTTGGAAAAATGTCAATTGATATTTTGATTTTTTTCAAGGATTGTTTATCAACTTTCCCCTTGAGGAGTCGGTAGCATTGTCTAAACTCCCACTTCGTGCAGTGCTGTGAAGTGCATCCTATCTGATTAGATGCGCAGATCCTATAATTCACGTTCATCCATGCAAAATTAGACTTTATTCCTGTGCAGTAAAGCATTGATAAACACAGATAATATGATTAATTTACACCACTCCTCTTATTTGCACAAAGACTCGAATAAAAGGGTTATTTTAATGCTTCGGGGAAGCAACTTCCAGTTGACTCATCAACAACGGATAAGTGCTGATAATGAAAATAATTTTATCGCAAATAATAAGCATTTCCATGGCTCAATTCGATGGGAGCAGGGGGGTGGTTTAGGAGTATCATTTGTTAGGAATATGGATAAGATGGATTTCATTGTCATTTGGATGCATAAACATCATCACTGGGGAAACAAAGTTGACCAAGCGTGGCTGTGCCCCCCCCCCCACTCCATCTTCAACGGGTGCTCGCTGATTGCACTGATAGTTTACGAATTTAACTGGTGGATCCGGCTCGTTGTTTTGGTGCCTGCGTGCGTGCGTGTGTGCGTGCGTGTGTGCGTGCGTGCGTGCGTGTGTGCGTGCGTGCGTGTGTGCGTGCGTGCGTGTGTGCGTGCGTGTGTGCGTGCGTGTGTGCGTGTTTGCGCGAAGGTGGCACAGCTGTAAGAACGTTCAAGGCAGCAAAGCGCGCGGCGAGTACAGCGCGGCCGCCGACGGCGAGAAGCAGCACCAGGACAGCGGAGTGTTCGTGGACACGCATGGCGCGCAGCCGCCCACTGCCTCTGGTACTCGAGCCACACGGAGATCACACAACCATGTGGCGGGTCACGCTGCACCACTCGCATCGCTCGCACCACTCGAGTCCATGCCAACGATAATTTCCCCCCCTTCTTTGTAGCGTGATCCCTGGGCCGCTGCGACCCATGGTCCAAACTTGCACTTGCTCCACTTGCGCGGAAATAGCCATACATTTTGGCAACACAAATTCTGATGCAGCACCTTGGCCTCCGTCTGCCGCTCCTGGCCGGCTGGCTGTGAACCACAACCCCACACAGCAACTGCCACAGATGCAGTCGCTCGCCGCGATGAAACAATGAGCTGACGCCACTGCTCACGGCTTCTACAGGTGGCGGCGGCGGCGCCAGCGGTAGCGATGGCGGCGGCGGAGAGAGAGGGCGCGTGGGCGAGGCCGGCAAGTGGAACTATGCGGGGCTGCCGGCGCACACGCGCGACGAGGTGGAGGAGCTGCTTTCTGCCGACGAGGAGGGCGGCGGCGGCTGGCGGGGGCTGGCGGCGGCGCTCGGCTACGATGCCGACGAGACAGAGGCACTGGCCGGGGAGGAGCGGCCCGCGCAGGCCCTCCTGGTGGCATGGGCGGCGCTCCCGGGTTCCACGCAGGACACGCTCGTCGATGCGCTGGGCCGGCTGCAGCGCGGGGACGTCATCGCCCGCTTGCGCCAGGAGACCACGGCGATGTCCGTGGTGTGAGCGGCGTCCGGGAGCAGTGTTCAGCTCGTGATTAGCGTCAGCCCACGGTTGTATTTTACAGACCACGTTAAAAGGGAGGAGAGGAAGGTGAATTTAAAAAAAATTACGTTTCTAAATTACGTTGTAATGTTGTTTTCTTTATTTTTATTTTATTTTTCAGACCAAGCTTGGCTGACTAGATGAAATAATTTGGAGGCCCCTGTCCAATTTTCCCACCTCTTCGAACTCGAGTGGCTGGGCCCCTTTGGCCCATAGGACCTGGTTCATTGGCTCCACCAGCACACTTGATAGATATGCCCCTGCACTGAAAGCAAACACCCGCAGTTAGTGTTTTTGTTCATCATGCTGGCAGGACAGCAAAAATGACGTTTCTAATTACAGAAGTGCATGGACCTTGATTTATCACATGGGAAGTACACTCAGCTTTGCAAGTCAGCAGCCAGCAAGAAAATATTTGCCATGCTGTTTGGCTCAAATCAATATGTATCCTACTTGTGAGTATTTAGCCTACTCACAATTTTCTGGAGGGGAAAAAAAGTTGATAAAATAAATGACAAGATATTGACATGAGTCTTCACACATGCAAATTCCCCCCACCCCACGCCCACTAATTAGGCAGTGGTACATGTGGTTGTTTGGTGACAGATTTTCTACAGTTGCCGCAACACCGTCACATTGGCAGGAATCAGTAGTGGGAGAGCTCCCGTCACCACGAAGGATGATCATGTTGCTTCTGTGAAATGTCCTTTTCTCTGTCGGGTCTTGGATTTAGCGCAAAGTGTTGATCTCTTCAATCGTCAGTCCTCCACAACAGGACTCACCACCTCTCCTTTCCTCAATCAGAGCGCAAGCAGGGGAGAGACGGCCTCAATCGACGGTTAGAATTTATGCACGCCTTCTTAAATAGGGGTGGCTTGAGACTCCCTCCATACGCGGCACATTAATGTTAGATTATGCGCACATGTTTGCCTCTCGTTATAATGTGTGCTTTTAATAGTTTTTTTTTTAATCCTACCGTGGCGTCTGTCTAATGCAACGGCACTGCACTGCGCATGACAGCGGACTTGAGTCACATGTTGGGCCGACTGGAATGCTACACAACGCCGCTGCCCTGCACTGGATGTCACCACCAACGAATCGTTTCACGAAACATTCCTCGGAAAGTTAAGAGGAACCAGGCTGCCTTGGCCTCGTCTGAATGCAGCTGCAGGATGGGGTTTTTTTCGTCCACATCAAACGATGGCCATTCACGGCGGCGCTGTGGAAGCACGCATCTGAACGGAGTTTGAAAGCAGGGCATGTGAGAGATTACGCGCGGATCTGCCATAGAGGTCCACACTATATTAACGGTAATATTCTAAAATAAGTAACAGTAACTGAGAAGGCAAATACTGTAGTTTAGAATACTTTCACATTTTTCTGTCCGTTGTCCAGCTCCATGTGTCACCCCCTGCTTCTGACCCCCCCCCCCCCACATCCCCTCGCGTTAAATCGTTGCGTTATCTGATTCACACTGTGCTACAGACTGCGCGCAGTCGCCTAGCGCGGTCCCGGCTGCTCACTGCGGTCCCGGCTGCTCGCTGCGGTCCCGGCTGCTCGCTGCGGTCCCGTGTGTTCGTGCATTCCGTGGGCAGTACGCGCGGTGACGTGCACATGAACGGACCTCACTTTCACCCGGTTGAAAAAAAATACCAATTACTCCAGGCATGAGCCCCCGAAGCACAACTTATTTATTATTTTCAAACAAGGACTGCAGTTGCTTTGAAAAGTAATGCACTGGTCGGCGTTTGCTGAGTACAGGTTGTGCACTATTTGCCACGCCTACATTTTAGGTTTGAACTGGATTTGAAAATGGGGGGGGGGGGGTTTGTCCATCATTGTGACGTCCCTGTGTGATATTTCGGTTCACGCGACCCTGCATGAACTGAAATGCGTTCTCTCAAACGCTCGCAGGAATTCGAGCTGGCATGGATTTTGCACTCCCGTGAGGCAGTGCCCCAAATTAAATTGCAGAAATTTGTATTTCTCATTGTTTTTTTCTTTTTTGCTATTAACCAGTTCTTCCCCTCGCCCCCCAATCATCGTTGTTTTTTAATGTGTAAGTGATTGTTGCTATATGCATATAGAACACATCGAACATTAAAGTGATCGGTTAATATCTCGATTATTGAGTTCAATCATCGATTTATTGAAAGAGCAAACCATTTACCTGGCATTTACATAAATAGCTATACAATTTCCGCACGCGTGGCTCAGAACATGCGTCTTGGCACAGGATTCGATGGCATTGACGACGCCGTCGATGTGATCATAGTTTTCCGCTCATTCCCGCTGTGCACTCTGGGCGTGCAGTGCGGTGAGTTTCCAGTAGTTTTAAATGCAGGCCAGCTGCCCCACCTTTACGATGCAATCAACAACAGATCGATTTAATTTTAAACAATCGATTTTTCTAAATAACCCATGAATAATTTCAGCACTGTAACGGATGCCACATCTGGTGATCAACGAGGCAATATCCAGTAAACAACAAAGGAGTGCATGCTTCTTTCTAGCAAAGCGTGGGTGTGTATTTAATGTGTGGATTGTGTCTCCGGCTCACGCAGCCTTGGTGTCACACAAACTTTCACACTGTCTCACAAAGTACTGAAATATTAAACTCAGCAGCAGCAATAGTCCCTGAGAGCACAATCGATAGAGGTGAACCATTGCCGTGGCATGCATACGTCAGATCAACTCCAGTGGTCACGATCATGATGATGATGATCACCATCGTCAACATCATCACGTCAGATTAACTTTAGTGGTTAAAAAATAATGTTAACCATAATCCATGAACTTGCCAAGCCTGACGATCAACTTGCTGTCTCATATGAAGTGCAGCGTTGTATATAATCTGTACACTGTATATAAATCCCCCCCCCCATTACCTTTTAGAATGGAGGTGGCTGAAGCTGTTGCTGTTTGGAACGCCAGACGCAAATGTGTAAACAAGTACTCCCACTGCTTTGTATAATTATTATTGTTATCTCATTGTACTTCATACATAACATTTACAACAGGAGGAAATGTACCAGATGCTTTACGAGCCGTGCTCTTCCTTTGACATTGTACTGAAATTGCGCCGAATTTTACCCCTGTACTGACCAGCAAAATGTAAATAAAAGTCGCTTCAGTGATCGCAAATGGCTTGTGAAATAACTGCGTCAACGCCAAAGTGGTTTGGCTGTTTAAAATAATAAAAAGAATGGCACTGATGCCAGCGCCACAGCGTTTCAAAGTGTCTCGGGGATCGCCCCGCTAATCCAGCTCACATTTAAAAGGTCAGGACTCTGCTTTAAAAAAATTGTTAAGGACACAATGAAAGAGAATTCCAAATAGTTAACACAATCACACAAAGGGAGGGGGAGTGAATATGCCTTTTGTGTTTACTTTTTTAAGTTTCCTTAAACTTGTGAGGATTAAAAGGGGACTCGCATTCTGTTCCAGGCTACAAACTCAGTCGAAAAAAAGTCCTTTGAAAAAAATGTGCATTTTCTATTTGTGTATGGTCAGCGTAAACTGTTCTTTCTCTGTGTGTTGGGATGCACGCAAACACTGAAACAGACGCGGGGTACTGTTTTATAAGAAAAAAGGATAAAAATATATACTTTTTGTAAAGTTTGCAAGATAAGGCTTTAATATAATGCTCAATGGATTTTTATTAGAGGGTCCCACGTGTTGTAGAGACGGAAGGATTTTCCCCGGATCGACGTGCACGGTCCTTGAGAGCCACGTGTGTGCCATGGGCAGGGTCGTCCGATGAGATATGCACCAAAACGTTTGGTTAGTATTGTTTTCAGCGATTTTGCAACTGCTTATCATTACCTCCGGTTAGCACGGTTGTCTGCGTGCGGTGCGAAGTTTCAACATACATACATGACATTGTTTTCCGTTCCTGAAGTAGCTGCAGCACGCAAAGCGAAACGTCGGACATCGTGCCAAACGCCACGCGGTTCGACCCGAAAAACGGACAGGAGAGCCGTACAGCGCAATTTGCGAAAACCTCTGCAGGAGGAGCATGGCGCTAATTTACAAACTCACACAGTGTTAAATATACTGTCTGCCAGTGGTGATTCCTCGCTGCACTTTAGAGATGGTATCTAAGTGACGTTTTCACGTTTCAGGGGACGCGTACAGCTTGCTAAATTGAATAATTGAAAGGCAATTTGGCGGTGGCTGCGAATGAGATGCCATCAGACGTGGGCAGATGAAATCGCTGCACTTCTCCTGCGGCAGGATAACCAGTTTGTGCACCCGTAGGCAACCGCTGCATTATTACAAGCGACTTTCCACATTCCAGTGATATCAATGAATCGCCTGCAAATTTCACTTGAAATGGGGGTAAAAAAAAACATTGAGATTGAGTCTCATCGCCTCTGAAAACCGGACTCGTAAGCCACCCACTTCTTTTGTTGACCTCTCTGCGAGCCGAAGACCATACGATATTTTTTTTAGAAGGTTCCATTACAGGCAGGAAACACACACGCGCCGTGATTTCAAGAGTGAAAGATGCATCGCTGAGGGTGGAATTCACGTGACACCCTGAGATTTGATCCCAGGTAAGATGAGCTTCTTGGGCCCTACGATCACTTCTCTTTGTTGGAGAAGAAATGCTGTTTTCGGTCATGACCTTGTGTGTGTGTGTGTGCCTGTCTGCCTATCAGTATCGTGGGGAGCGTTAGTGTAGCGGTTGGCGTGCTGCGCTATGAACCCGGCGACCCGCTCACAGCCAACACCCAGTGACGATTATCTGAACCGGTCCTGGGCCTCCCCTAGGTCGGCTCGGCCTCAAATGAGTACCTGGTGCGATGTGTAAACATCGCCACTGGGGAGACAAAGGCGGTCGGGCGTGGTGCTAGCCACCCACCCCCTTGTGTACAGTTCCAGCCTTCATAGGTGCTCCCTAACAGCACTTGCCCCTACAGTCTGTGAAGGCTATACGGGGGATCTTTGTCTTTGCCTATCAGTATTAAGGTTGCTACCTGTCCTGTTTTTTTTTCCCGAGAGTCATCCTTTTTTTTTAGATAACTTCCCAAGTGAAAACTAAGTTTGTTCTGAGAGCATTGAACGTCCTGGGGTTTGTAATAATACACCACACCGTTGATAGTTTGAATAGTCTAACATTGTGTTCTCCCCTCTTCCGGTATCGTGAGATAGTCTTCTTCCCAGGACAGGTCCTGGTACTTATGTTTTACCTCAAAGGAGGCAGCCCGAGCGAGTATGCGTGTGTGTGCGCGCGAGTGAGTATACACGTGCGACATGCACTCTAGGTTTTCCACGCGTTGCAAAGGTTCACGGTTTGAATCCAGCGGGCCGCCCTGATTAATAATGCGAGGGTATTAATCGTAAAGAAATAAGCACCGTCTTATTCATGGTGGAGGCTAAAGTTCCGGTGACGCAGTTCGCAAGAGTGGCCCATTGCTGGCGTCAAGGTCCAAATGTGCCCAATTTTACTAATTATACAAATGACGCCACAACTCACTTAATTCCATTGTACATAACGATCATTGCCCGCCTATTGTGAAAACTTAGCAGCACCCTCCAGAAAAAAGAGACAAGAAGCTCAGTGAGGCTTTCATGGATAAACGAGCATAATATAAATAGATTATAAATCAGATGCCCTGTAGAATATGGGTGTAAAATGTTAATTGATCAATATCACATTTTAAACCTCACAATACGTACATCGAATCACGTGCGTAAAAATGTTTTGTTTATGTTATGTAGATTAACAATATGCCATTGATATCTGCAGGACAGCTTGTACGCATAGGCCATCTAATGAAGGCGAATAAAGAGGCGAATGAGATCAGGTTGGACGAGTTGCTTTGAAAAACTTAACATAATAATTAAACTCAAAATAACAGGGTGGCTGAATATACATTTTGTTTTAATCCTGCATCTGTTTTGACATACGGATCAGAAACATGCACATTGACAAAAATAAACTGTACAAACGATAAAATTCGCAGAGGGGAAAGCACCGAGGGACGTTTTCTTTGAATTACACTGAGAGACAGAAAAGGGATACGTGAATTAGAGAATAATGGAATGGCAGCCAAAGGATGGAACATTCCTGAGATGTCCACCGCAGATATGCAGTGATGAAATCAAAGCGTGTGTAGAAACTTGATAGATTGGTGGGCCATGCACGAGTGGCGGCAGTTACTTTGGAGGGGCGGACTTTTATCCAATGATGGATTGACCATGGATGATGATGATTAAATACAACTGCACAAACCAAACAGAATTTGTTTTGCTAAAATACAAAGGACACCGAAAAAGAATCGATACTCGAATCAAATCGCAGCTCTGAATCTCAACGATGTGTGTAATCGGTGGGAGGGAATCATTACACCCGCGACTACAGCCTGCATAGAAGCAGCCCGGCCTCTCTCCATATCTCGTGGTGTGGGATTAATTAGATCATGAGTGGATCTCGGCGCATGCCAGCTCAGAGTAACGCTCTCTTTATCTCGCCGCAAAAACGTTGGCAGTACTCTGAAGGCTTTACCCGGAAAGTCAGAGTCCTGTGTCGTGATGCCTGGAAGTCATTACAATGAACTGGGATGTTTTGTCGTTATCAGCCTACCGTTATAAACTATACGACAACGGATTACAGATATGAGCGATTAATATACATTCTAAACATTAATTAACCTGATGTGTAATATTTCAATACAAAGCACCCCATTTAGAAATTTAAAAAAATGTTTTAACCTTTATATTTCACAAATACCTTTTAAGTTAAGATGTTACGTAACATCTAACTATACCTATTGTATTAGTGCAAAGGAGTGTTAATAATTACACTTTTAACTTTTTTTTTATTTAACCAGGCAAAGCCCACTGAGCTATACAGCTATTTTACAGAAGCGACCTGACCACAAATGATAGCCTATTGAAGTGGTTTATCACGTGGAAATTTATCATCCTAATACTCTAAACGCATGTTTCTAAATATGGAGGAAAAACCGGAGAACGCGGAGAACAATCCACGCGACCAGGAGGAGAGACATGTAAACTCGTCAGGGTGGGGATCGAACCCACGACCTCCTGTATACCTGGCGAGGTAGTTAACATCGCCACCGTGGCACCATTAATAAATTAAGGAATTCAGAAAACACGTTGACACATACATAATTCAACAATGACATGCTGACTTAATATTGTGCGTAAATAAATCGTTTTTCATTTTTCCCACCAAGCTTTAAATTTCAAGCTTCCTTCAGACGAACGCCCCTCATATACCCTCCACTCCAAGAACCCAATAAACCCACGAACCACGCTTGCCCACCACCAAACTGCTCAAGCGAATGCACTTTTGGGGCAGTGTGGCGGCGGTGTTGTTTTCTTGAAGACGACAACGGGAAGATAACGTGTTTTTATTGTTTATTTTCTCCTATGCTCATCGCACCGCAGACACAATCTCGTGCATTTTTCTTACGCAATGCTGCCCACTCGCGTTCGTCTCCCTGGCGAGTTGCTTTCTCCCACGGCGTGGAGGAGCGTCGTGTTCTGTGCTCCTCTCCGCGGGGCAGAGAAAGCCGATACGCCCCGGGAGACGCAGAGAGCAGCTTGCACAGAAACACAGCATCGGTGCACATTGATCTCGTGGTTTCTAATTACGACACGAGTAACAAATGCGATGATATTTACTTCATAATGGCAAGAGGGAACCGCTTGCAGGCTCGGGGGCGAGCCAGTGGCTTGGGTGACTGACCCGGGGTTGAGAGTCTTTGTTGGACAAAGTGATGAACGATGCGTCTGGCAGCGGAGCAGGTGGCCGACGGTAGCAATAATAACCGCGATTCACGAGACGATCCAACAAGAATTTTTTTTTTTTAAAGGCATCAAGCACTGACCTCTCTTAGCAACATTTAGTTTGTTTCATGAGCGAGACGAAGTTCCTTTCCCGATCTTAATTCGTGGTAAACACACCGGGTATTTATTGTATTTTTTGTTGTTGTTAGAGTGTTGTAAGTGACCCATTGTTTTGTCTTTCAAATTTGATATGCGGCCCGTGACATCGGCACTCGGCGTCTTCCCCTCGCAAATGATGGTATCGTACGGTCTTTAACAACCACTTTGTATCAGATGGCCGCACTGTGGAATTGCCACTTAACTATTGCAAGGTGGCCGAT